ATCTCTGCAGCCTTGAGCAACCTGTTCCTGAAGGCGAAGACTGGCTGTGGACTCAGAGCAAGCGAGTGGCACACAGGACTGGGGCGTTTCAGCGTAGACTGACAGAGTGGTCTCTGGGTATGCTGGCAGAGTTTAGCATGTGGCTTCTGCTCGGAGCTGCCTTGCCTTGCTATTTATCTGTTTTTCTTGGTGAATGTGCCAAGGTCTGTTTTCCTGCCTTTCAAGCATTAGCCCTGGACAGAGGTGCCAATCTACCCAGGTGTTCTCCTCAGTGCAGATGCTGCTCCCTCAGTGGGGCTGGTAGCAGGGGTGACACTGGCTGGCTCTTCCTGCGATCGACTGTGGGCCGTGGTGCCACTGCCCAGTCTTGTCCTCCACACTTGCCACACAGAGTTAGGGGCTCCCTGCCTCACTGTGGTCTCTCTGCGGTGCCTCTGGGGGGCCCCAGAGTGAGCTCTGGGCTCAGGGATCAGCACTAAGCTAGCTGTTTTGACAGCGAGTTCCCCCCCTTTGTTCCAAGCCCATGGCAAAAACTGAAAGGAAGACCACCCCTTTTCCTGCATTTTGATGTGTGAAATGCAGTTGCTATTTCAGAACTAGCAAACTATTTTCCAGTGAAACAGGTATAACACAACACACCTCCCCACCAGCAGTCTCCTGTCCAACCATCGCATCGACGCCGGCTCTCACCATCTCACCGTGTGCTTCTCTTCTGACTCTGCCACCCCCACGGGGTGGTAGGCTCCCAGGGGGACAGGCTTGTCCTGCCCCCTCCCCACAATGTCCAGAGCATTAATGAGGGTTGACCATGCAGCAGACTCAATAATAATGGAAAATCAAAGACACAAGAGGCAAAGCAAAAAGGTATCCAGATCATTAAACAGGTTGGTAGAACTTGAGGTCAACGTTGATACATAGTTAGGAATTGTAACATTTGAATTGGGAATGCTTCATTGTAATATGACTATTCTGCAAAATCAAGAGAAGCATCCAAACAGATATTCCAACTAACAGGAGTTTGGTAAGGTGGCTGGATTCACAAAATGCCAAAAGTAGCAGCTCCCTTATATCTCACCAATTAGATGACATAATAGACTTCCCCCTCGCAATGCACCCGAAGTGATAAATGAACAGAATGGATTAACGAGACCAGACAAGATCTACATGAAGGAAAACACCAAACTTTACTGGGGAGTGAAAAACAAATTTGAGTGGACCGGGTAAGAACTGTGTTCCATGATAAGAAACTCAGCATAGGGAAGATGCATCCCTCTGCACCTAACTGACAGCCGAACAGCAACGCCAACTAAGATCGGCACGGGTGATTTGGTGGTGGGAGAGAGGTTTGAAGTTCATTAAAAAATAAATAAACAAACAGGTAACAGAGGCCAAGAAAAACTCGGGGGTAAAGGAGAAGCTGTAACTCTACCAGAGGGGAGTGTAGCCAGGAAGCCAAGACGACCTGCGAACGGAGCCAAGGCAAGGCAACCTGCAACCGTGGGTCCCACGGAGTGGACTCCAGGGGCCAGAGCGGGTATTAGCAAAGGTTCAGCTGCGCAACGAGGACACGCAGGCTCATCAGAGGGGGACGACTGGCAACCTACTGCTACTTCCTGTCACACACATGGATCCACACAAGTCAAAGTAGACTGGAGACTAATCATATTTTGGAACAAGGGAACAAAACAATAATAAACCTGTAAACTTGGATGTGCACATCTATCAACTGTGTGAAATGATTTCAGACTTATTGAAGCTTTCTATACAGTTTAAAATGGAAACCTACAAGTATAAGACTTATGATTTCATTATATAGAAAAAAAGGGGGGAAAATCTCTATATGGAAATAAGACCATAACATTTACAAAGCAAATAATAAACTGGGGAGCTATTTGAAGAATATATTATAAACTATTAATATCCTAAATATAAAAAGAGTCTGACACATCAGTAAGAAAAAGTCAGGTACCTAGTGAAAAAATGGCAAAGCATAAATTTAAATGGCTGCAGGAAACACGGTGGCCATGGAGCGTCCAGGAGGCTCAGCCTCACTCCCACCCAAGCAATCCGGAGACAGCAGGAGCTACTGTGATTGGATCAGCCTAGATGATGTATGATGCCCAACACGAGCACCAGCCAGTATGCGAGGTGGCATGGCGCTGGCCGTTGGATGGACGGCACTGTGTGTGACTCTCTCTGGAGGTTCACGTGGAACCATGTGAGTGGTGCTGCCCACTGACGGGGTCACTCTACTCACAGCGTTTGCTCTCCAGCAATAACAGGTGTCAGGTATCATTTTGCAGATTAAGGTTCAGCGGGTCTGTGCATGCCAGGCCCACGCGGGTGCCGCCGTCACCAGAAGGGAAGGCACACGACGCTGATCCAGGTCAGCAACACCAAAATCAGACAGCAGGGGGGGGAAAGCACAGGAAGCACAAAGGGTGGCCGGCCTCTCCAGCTGACCCAGAAGCCCCAAAGAGCCAAGCAGCAGCATTCCAAGGAGTGGAGGGCGGAGGGTGACAGGAGTGGCCCAGGAAGGCCGTGGCGAAGGGCTCCAGGCCCACGCTGGCTGACAGCTGCGCCACCTGCGCGCTGGGCCGCTTTACTGCAGATTCAACTTGCTGTGCTGGAATCCCCATGCAGAGAGCATGAGCGTGTTATGAATGATTTCAGATACAGGGAGCTCATTTTCCAAGAGTAATTTAGAGTATGTGAAATCTCAAATCGTAATGCTTTAATTTCTTAAGCAAGAAAGAAGGTATCATTTTGCAGATTAAGGTTCAGTTTAGGAGGCCGGTGTAAATTAAAATGCCACAACGTTTTAATGAAGTCCCTGCCTCCTCCAGGAGGGCTGATGCCACCCCAAGCTGAGGGGCGTGGCCAGAGGAGGGATCCTCATCCTGCCCAAACCCTTGCACTTGCCCGACACCAGGGTCTCATGGAGAATGAGACTGGGCCTTGGGAATGCCTTCTGGAAACAGCTCCTACCAGTGAAGGAGGGTGACATCACCCACCCCATGGAGGTGGTATGGGGTGTGTGTGGCCGTCTGCATTTTTATTTATGATGAAAACATTTAATTTTCCTTAGGACAATGGATTTCAGCACCAGGTGCTCCAGTCTCAAGCCTGAGACGCTCAAGGTCCCCATCTTACCCACTCCACACCTCTCCACTCCTCAGGGCTGCTCCCTTGTCTTGTGTACCCAGATTCCTGTCCCTGGTCCCACTCCAACACAGACGTCCTGAGCAGGGGCCCCTGGCTCACCTCCTGGATGGGGCGCACCCTACCACGGTGGACCCCACTCCTTGGGTCCCTGTGGTCTGCCGTGCGGGGCTGCATCTGGTTTTCTTTGTCTCTCCCCCATATGAGGGTGAGGATCTCTAGGGTGGGGATCATGTCTTACTGACTGTGCCACTGGGGCGGAGGACAGCGGCAGGGACACATCAGCAGCTCGGTAAGTGGCTCTACCTGGCCATCTGCAATGTGAACACACTTCCAGATACCAAGCCGCACGTCACTAACACACGCAAGTTTTGCTCATTAACAAAGAAGAGAACATGACAGGTCATGATTCATCTAGCAGGTGTTTCTGCACTTTGTCAGAAAACTTCCCATAATTTTTTTTTTAATAGAGGAGACTTGATTGACATCTGTTGACTTGAACAAATACATGGATAGATGTCACGTGGTCAGATGGGAGGTGAAATGGCTGGCCACACGGGGGCCAGGGCTCCCCCACACCACAACGGCTCCCGCCCGGCGCTGGTGCTCGAGGGCACTCCTGTCTGGTGGATGCCTCTGCGACGTGGGGAGTGGCGGGATGTTCTACTCGCTGTACAACCCTTTTCCTCCTTGCCCTTCTTCCCTCTCTTCCCACCCAGTCACACACCACCCCAAAAAGGGAACTCTCACGGACATTTTGGGAGAAAGGTCAGCAGGTCACAGGAAGCCACGTGGAACCACCTCCTGGCCTTTCTGGAGGAAGTCAGCTTTCAGCCTGATGCGCAGCAATAGCGTCTTCCCGTGGTCCCTCGCCCTGTGCCTCCCCACGTGCTGGCCTGGCATTGCTCTCTGCCCCTCAGTGACCTGCACAAGGCCCCTGGCACTGTGAGGTGGAGCCCAGGTGGGCTGCCCCCAATTCTGATTCTTGCTTACCATCCCCTTCAACCACCAAGGTCGTTCACACCACCCTGCAGTCCGCACCATCCCTCCCTAGGAGCACCGAGCGTCTCGGACGGGCCACGCGGCATCCTTACAGAGCCAGCCCTAGGCTGGAGACTGCTGTCTGGGGAAGAACTGGCTGGGGGAGGGGGAGAAGAAAGGGACCTTTGCTGGAGGAAACAATGAGGTTCCACGTGCTGAAGGTGCCCAAGTGCGTCCCTGGAGATGCCCTCACCCGTTCCCGGTCATCAGCAGTCACAGGAAGGTGGAGGCCACCATGCGGTCATTGGCACAGATTCCGACATAAAGCCAACAATGGCACGGAGGGCTCGCACCTGCTCCCCGAGGCCAGGAACAGGCAAACACACTGAATTTTGAGAAAACACCAACTCTCTATAATCCTCAATGAAAAAGGAACATTCCCCTTTAAAAGAGAATCAGGAGAAGGCATGTGGCAGTAGAGAATGTCAAATGGTAGGTAAAAGAAACTGGAGAGGACTGAAATCTAGGTAGGCCCAGTGTTTCCTTAAACATTGCCCCAAAAGTTTTTCTGCTTTTGTCCACAGAGTTACCAGGCTGGTTGATCCTTGATACTTTATTGATTAGTTCTGTTCCTTTGAAGGACAGCCCTTAGGTACCAATTCCGATCACCCGATGCTTGGTTTGTGCCGCGGACACTGCGGCATTTGGAGCCCAGGGGCACAGGGAAAGTGATCAGCCCCTGTCCACACCTAGGGGCTAACGACTCCACCGGGTCTCAGAAGCCCAACCTGCCCACCAGCCACACCGTCTGTCATCGCTGTCCCTCTTGGTTTCTCTGGTGTCTGCGGTGAGCTTACCTGAATTTGGTGAGATGTGTAAACTGCTCATGTCCTTGGACAGGCCATTGGTTTTGGGGCTGGAGATGGGCGCGCAGGCCGACGTGGCTCGGGGTGGCCTCTTCCCTGGGACTTTCACAGTGGTTCTCAGAAGGTCAATCTCTTTACCGTGAACATTCTGCATGTAATCCTGTTCAAAATGTTAAACACCCAAGAGAGATTAAAAAGAGGACCTCTACAATCTAGGACATGAGGTTCTATCAGACGTCAGGAGCTATAATCCCGTGACCCTGCCACTGTGGAAAGCATTTTCAAAATAATGAGGTTTTCATCTGTCTGGTGTGGGCGCGCCACCATCCCCTTTCAATCCAGGTTTTGCATCTGTGTCCTGAGCTCACCCAGCACCAGAAACACAGAGTGACCTGGTAGATGCTTCCCTCATGTTGGAAGTATACACACAAACTCCTATTTTAAAAACTTATTATTAGGTGGCACATGAGGGGCCTGGATTCATCCTATAAATTCTAGGAAATATTTTCTGGACTCTGACAGTTATTTCCTGATCCTTTCTGCCTCAGCTGAGAATACTGTTCAACTTCCAGGGAGACTGGCTGCGTGGTGGGAATCCAGGAAAGCTGTGTGCAGAGCTGGAGGGCTTAAACAGGGGCAGGGAGGCAGGAGTTGAAGGATCAGTGGGTTCGTGGAAGGACAGGAGGAACCTGATGTTCCCGAGCATGTGCATCACTTGGTCCCTGAGTTCTAGGCTTCTCCCAGAAGTCCACCTGCTGTACTCAGAAAGGCTTCTGCCCTCTGGACGGTGGCGGCAAGAGACCTACAGTCATCAGAGGGGAGCCTAGGTAAAAGGGGAGCTCTCTGTGCAGTCACTTAACACCTCACTGTGGAGCAGAACACCCCGGAGAAGCAGGTGATGGGTGGGGAGGCAGAAGGTAGAAAGGCAACCGCTATGGTTTGGTAACTGTCCCCCAAAGACTGACATGTCATAAAGGTTGGTCCCCAATGTGCGGTACTACTGGGAAATGGGGAGACTTTAGGAGGCAGTTAGGTCAGTGGGGGTGTGTCCTCAGAGGGGACACACCCAGGACCCCTCCTGTCCCGCCCTTTGTTTCCACGAGGTGAGCAGGCACCCTCTGCCACACACTTGTGCCATGCTGTTCTGACAGGACCAAGCAACCACGGGCCACGCCCTGAAACCATGAGCCAGAATGACCTTCTCTTCTTGTAAGTCGACTATCTCAGGTGTACGTTGTCAGAGTAAGGAAAAGCTGACTAAAGCAGCAACCAAGAGGCAGGGTGGAGGGTCTGTTGGTGAATCAGGGTTCACTATTGTCAACGAGGCACTATTTTCCATTATTATTTTTGATATGGGAATGAGCTGAGCTTCCTGGTGGACAGAATATTTTAAGCACTCTGGACACATTAACTGAATCACACATTATGAAATGACACAGACTAGGTCGCCCTTAGATAAGTGACACTTCAAGTGTTTTAAGGCTAAGCCGGAAGGAGGAGTAAACATCTTTCTCTGGCAGATTCTTGAGGATTACTTTTAGATTCGTTTTCATTATCTGTGACTAAGGTCAGGGGAGTGTAACTTTAGAACTGCCAGACAATCCTGAGTCTGGCTGCAAGGGGCCCAGGCAGGCTGGGAAAGCGAGCTGATGGCCCGTAGCTTCCCACACGTGGCTGACCGACGTGGAAGAAAACCAGATAGCAGCAGAGCACCGGGGAGGAGGCCTCGGCCAGTCCAGGGGAGTCAGGTAGGCACGGGGACACCGGTCAAGGCAGGGAGCCAAGAGAAGGCTCCTTGGCTTCAGGGAAAGAGGCCGTGACTTCTAACTCAGCTGCAGAATGGTGTCCATGGTCAGCAGGTGGAGGGGTGGAGGAGCCTCTGGTTTGTCGACATGCAGGAAGCTTGCTCACTGGAGGGATGATGTGACAGTGACCAAGAGGCCAAGATTCCAGCCTGGGGGACGGGCATGTAAGCATGGGTCCAGGACGCAGGTGAGCAGAGCTGCCCTCTCACCACCCAACGGCGAGCGGGAGGGGTGGCTGGGCAGTCACCAGTGCAGACCTTTCTGCAATTGAGGGGGGCACAAAACAGACTCCAGGAAAAGGTGATGGATCCCCGAGGAGGAGGGTGGGAACCCATGAGTGAGGGGAGAGGCTCAGAGGGGAGGTACAGAATTCTGCAGGTGCTCAGGGACCAGACCTGCAGGGCCCTGGCGACTTCCCGCAGACAGACCACAAACGGCCGACTCTTAGTCCAGGACACAAGCTCCAAAACTGAGGCCAGGACCAGGAGGACCAGCGTGACTGCAGGCCATGGGGAGGGGTCAGAAGCTGTCCCCCGTGAGGCCGGGCCTTCCTCAGCAGAGGGTCCGATACCCAGAGAAGGTGCTGGAGTGCACACCTCTGACACCAGCCCAGGTGGGGCAAGCAGCAGAGGCAGGAGCCACCTGATGTCCTCAGGGCAGGCCAGCAGGGGTCCACAACTGCCCCCTTGGAGAGGGGAGGTGGAGGAGGGAAAGCAGAAGGTTGTCTCCAGGCTGGGAATCAAAAGCCACTGAGAGAGGACCCCACATCAAAGACCAGAAGCCAGACTCCCCCGAATGTAATTGACTATGAGAAAAGATGTGGTAAGGAAAGGATGTGGAAAGATGGGGGAAATGCTGTTATTGTTCAATCAGATTGACAGCCAAGGAAGGCTGGGAGAAATGCAGGGGATCAGAAATGCTGACAGAGCTCAGCGTGGAGGAGGGCCAAGGAAACGCCCGACGGAGGAGAGGGTGAGCCTTGGTTGGCGCAGGTCATTGAAAAGAATGGTTGTTCCCACACATCTTAACTGACTTCCTTTAACATCCGCCCCAAATACGCAACTCCAAGTTTCAAAACCAAAGTTAATGCTTGTAAATAATGGAATTCCTTCTTGCATAGTTACTCCTTTAAAAATATCAACTTGCTATAACTTTCTCCTTTAATGCCAATTCTTAACAAATTAAAATACAATAACAGGAGTGTAATTGAGCATTTATTGCTTATGAGCTCTAAAATGAGGCTAATCAGAGAGTGACTAAGCCTCAGCGTGGGCTCTTTTAATAGGCATGTTTTAACATACAATAACCAGGATATTTTATTTAAAATTATTATAGAAATGTACCAAGTGTCTGCTCTCTGGATTTGAATGTGGCAAGGGAAGACATTTATCTTCAGCTCAGCATGGGCTAGGGTCTGCGTTCTCGCCTGAGTTAGGCGCTGAAACTTCAGACGGACTGGCTCTAGAATATCAGAATATCAATTTGACAACTACTTTATTTCAAGCCACTAAAAAAAAAAATGCTAAGTGTTTACAAAGTACAACTCCCCCGAAGTCCTCCAAGTTGGTGCTTCATAAACAGTGGGAATGCGAGGACACTGGGGTCTGTGGCTTCGAGATTCTCCCAAGAGAAAGCGCACTCAGTTTTCTACTTTGGAAAGAATTCACCCTTTTCGTCTTTCCCCAGTGTGGCTCTTGAGCAACAGGAGCTGCAGCCACTAAACAATGTTGTATCCTCAGAGGCAGGACACAGAGCGCCTTCCTAGGTCTGGGGTAGGGAACTCGCTGGGTCAAATAAAGATGGCAAGCTTGATTTTGATATGCAAATATCACAGATACTACCCTGTGCAACTAACCCTGTTCCTTGTAGAAAATGCTGATCGAAGATAAAAGGGGAAAGATCCCTTTAACAAGGCATGAGGGTAATTCAAAGCCAAGTACTTTTAAACAGCACTTAACAAGTCCCTGGGGCCCACTCAAGAGCCAGGCCCCCCAGAGGTGCCATCTCCTGCCCCTCAACAGCTTGAAAAAGTAGTAATTGCAAACCTATTTGCATTTTTCTTCTCAAGTTGTCCATGCTCATCATGTGGATTATTTTTTCCAAGCAGGCGCCTGAGCAAAGGGACCCGTTCTGAGCGTGCCAACAGCTCCATAACAGTGCCTGCCGTCCCCTGCACCCTGCCCCCGCACCTTTGCCATCCCTTGTTTTTTACATTTCGCTCCTAATTATGTTGCATCTATTGCCGTACACTTAATTAGCTGCATTAATGTGATTTCTTTTCACATAGTCAAGCAATTAAGAGCTATGATTGAGTTTCATTCAATTAGCCTCAACAAACATGCTAATTGATGTCCCAGATGCAAATGAGGTGCAATGAGAGAAACCTGCTAGCAATTGAGAGCCATGTCAGAGACCCGGAGCTTTCAGCTTGCTGACAGAAGCACAGCTTAACGCGGCTCCCGCCTTCTGCGGAGCTGCCATAGGAGAAGGATGTGGGGCCATTAGCGTCTCCGTGTACCAGATCACTCCTGATACGGAGAATTAATTGATTCGCTTCTGTACAGTGTTGTCCTAAAAATTCGCAGTTATGTGTTCCCAGGACTGGGAGGTTATCCACTGGGTAACGGGTGCCCCAGCGAGCGGAGTGGTGCAAGGTCCTCATCGACATTCGGTAACGAGACCACCAGAAAGACACAGGAGACTCTCCCCAACTACACACCACCACCGGCGGTCCTGCAGCCCTCCGTGCGTGATGGCCTATTCAGTTCTCAGTAAATGGGGAGTTCATCTTCGTCAGCTCTGGGGCATCTGGCACTTGAGTTAAGCTCAAAACACAGCAATCCATCAATAGTCCCTAAAAATATCTTAGTATATTGATTCTCACTGCCTCAAATCCAGAGGTTACCTTTGGCTGTCTGGAGAAGGATGGTTTGCTGATGTATTCATAGAGGTACCAAAAGCAGTTAGCAAGATCTTGAAGCTAAACTGAAATGCATAAACCATCTGCCTGGCATCTCAAAACCAGACCTTCAGAAAAATGCACAAGGCTTTGAAAATCTGACAGCTTAAATTCTACTTGCTTTAAATACAGATAATGTAATCAACATACTCCATTTTATCTCTGCTTTTTTAAAGAATTAAGACTCTTATAATTAAATGATGATGGACAAAATAAAGCAAATTTTGGTTCCAATCAAGTTTTCCCAACATGTTCTAGTTTCTAATGATACATGTATTCATAAATTTAGTCTTTTTTTTTTTTTTTTTTTGGTATTGGAAATTGAATCCAGGGGCATTTTATCACTGAGCCCCTAGCCCTTCTCAGTTTTTATTTTGAGACAGGGTCTCACTAAGT